GGGGGGGGGGGGGGGGGGGGGGGGGGAGGCTGTGCGCTCTGCTGTCCTCCCGGCAGAGCGCGTCCCCCTCCACTCCAGCAACAGCTCCGCTATTCCAGGCACCGCGCTGCGTTTTGTCCCCCCGCCCCCCCTCCGCCGTCTCCTCCTGGATAACGCAGATTGACGGACCTCCCCCCCCCCCCCAATCCCCCTCCACCTGGAGCAGCTTCACCCCAAGCAGGAGCAACGTGTTTCCTCCTCCTGGTTCTCCTGTTTGCGCGGCGGAGCTCCAGGAGTCCTGATGGAAACGTGGATAAAGTTGATGTTGTTGAGCAGCTGCTGCTTTGGAGCAAGTGCTGACTTCGATGGGAGGTAGGTGTGTGTGTGTGTGTGTGTGTGTGTGTGTGGTGGGGGGTGGGGGGGGGGGGGTGTCAGAGACTGTGGAGGAACGTGTCATTTCTCGAATGTTTCCATAGTTTTGTAGAGGAAAGCGCTGTGTCTGTGCAGATGCGAGGCTCATGATGAAGTGATGCGGGCTTCATGTCCCAACATGACTTCATGAAGAGTGTTGGAGACTCCAGGCAAACAGCCAAAGAATGTGCACCTCCTGAGGTGTCAGGAGCATCTGATGGATGAAGCTGCTGGTTTGATCTGTCTGCTCCTGGATATCAGGAGACTACACCTCTTTACACATGTTGCACGTTTCTTTGTTTCTAAATGGGGAAACTTCCGAGCAGAACTGTTGGAACCATCTCAGCTGGTTGAGATGGATTTAGTTTGAGTGTCAGAGGAGTTAGGACTGTCTTCTCTGGGGAAAAGTTACACACGCAAACTAATAACCTGCTGACAGGTGACGGCGGATGATCGTGTTTCGTGCGCTTGCTACTGTAATGTGTCATGAAGATGAATTTACTGGCGTTTTCAGAAAGTACTCGTTGGATGATCATCTAGCTGATGAGCTGCAGAGTCAATCCAATTCAAGATGGCTGACAGAGCCAGTTGACCTTAAGAAGACAAGAATGGCAGTGACTGTCATTTTTTATGGACCTTGAGCTTAAACATATTATTTGTATTAATCTTTTACAGTGTAATGACAGAAACTCCCTCATTACAACAGGAGTTAAACTTTCTAAGTTTATTGTTGTCCATAGCAGATGGCAGCATTCAAACAACAATTAGACAAGACAATCATACACCCCTTTTTGGTAAGTAGGTGGAAATGTCATTTAGTCAAACTTAATCTGACCAAAATGACTGAGGCAATTTAAAAAACAAGGCTGAGACTGACCCCTAACACTATCATGCTGTATCATATCCATGTGCTATCATGGTGCACTAAGATTCATAACTGGCTGTAACTATTGTACCCACCACTGCACCCAGTATTCACTGGTTAGCTGGTCATCATTAACTTCACACAGACTCACTGGTTCATTTTCATCTTTAAATCACTCTTGGTCTGCTGCCTTCATACATCTCCTCCTACATGTCTCTGTGTGAGTGCAGCTACAGCGTGCGCTCTCAGGACATTATTACCTGCAGTGTTCCCTCAGTGAGGACTGAACTAGGCAAAAGGGCCTTCACCTACTCCGCTCCTGTTTCCTGGAATATCTTACAAAAAGATCAGAAGCTCTCGACCTTGACCTCTCTAAGTGGTTTCAAACATCTGCTAAGTTCCTGGTAAAAACCAACACAGACATGTTCCTGTTTTTAGTATCTTACATCACTTTACAACCTAGCTGTTTTCATTTTGTTTTTAATACATTTTCTTTCATTTCTTCTTCTCAATTTGTATGCTTTCTTTTAAGACTGTCCACTGTTGTCATCACTTTTTGTTAAAATTCAGGTCTCTCTTGTAAATGAGTCCCCGAGGCTCAATGGGATTAGCCTGTCTAAATAAAGGTTGAATGAAAAACACATAGTCTGAGTTCTAACATATTCTCCAAGATCTCTGTTGAAAGTTTTGCCATTAACTGTTGGAGTCACTCTGCCTGTTAGCAAAATATTTCATGAACCATGGACCAATTTTATTATAAATGTCATAAAATATTAAATTAATGTACATCTACAACCGAATAACCTTTAGAGACAATCTAATTCACGATGGCCTCCCCAGGCAACTTTTAGGAACCTGAAAAATGGCCACAGATATTGAGCTAAAATATAATGCAGTAGTAGCTGATGGTCATTCACAAACATACGCTAAGTTCTGCTCATTGAGCAAGATGTTTGTTATAAACTGTAGCAGTCAGTGTTGGGGTCAACACTGTCTGTTAGCAAAATATGTCATGAACCACTGGTTCTGTTTTCATGCAACTGACAGAATTTATTGGATGAACCAACACTTGCAGCTGATTAACGCTGGGAGTCAATCCAATTCAAGATGGCTGCCCCAGCTAATCCTTGTTAGCCAACAGAAAATGGTTATAGCTCAGTGACCGTTACAAATATTATGTTGAAATATCATGTGGTCGTAGCTGAGAGTCATTCAGAACACAGGACATCTTGTGATATTGCATGAGACTACTCAGAAAGTTATTTTCAACATGATTTTAGTAAAAAAAAAATGGCATGAAAGGTGGCGGGTAATATGCATTCCTTCAAGGCACACCGGACCTTTAACTTCCTCCACCGTTCTGTCATTCAGGCTGAACTCCAGAGCCAAATGTTTTCTCACGTTTGGCGTTTTAAAGCAAACCACTCCAGTTGTTCCAGGATTATTTGAGGCATTTCTCACAGTCAGACAGGATTAGTCCAGCTGTTAACAGATCCTGACAGGAGGACTTGTTTGGATTCTATTTGTCTTCTCCTCCGCTCCTTCAGCCCAGTTTCTGCTGTGAACCAACGCTTTCCAGAATAAGTAATCAGATGATCAAAGGTTTGAGTCAGGAGGAAGAGCTGCTATTCCATAAAGACAAAGAACTAAAGAAACGACAGGAAAAAACAGATTAACATTTGCCAAATGTATTTCTTCCTAATCATAATAACTAATATTCCAGTGACGGGCCGTAGTGGTCCGGACTGCACAGCTCTGGCTGGATGTTACGCTTTGCTTTTGTGTAATAATCATTTATTTGAATCTAGCAGCAACATATGGTGCATTATTAACATTCCTGCTGATGGAGTGGCTTGTCACCACAGCCATAATTTGCCAATTTTTATGGGTATAAACTTGCTCAGGCTTGAATCTCCGCTTCAGTATTAATTCATTGAGGAAAATATCCCTCGAGACGAAGCACAAGAAAAAAAAACATTTATCACCACGTCCGGCTCTATTGCCCTTTTAGAGAGCATTCCTAACAGGCTTATCCATGTGGGCCTGAAGGGTCCTTCGCACGGACGCCTCTCTCTCTCTGCTCAGATAATTCTGTTTTCCCCCATGATTGCTTAGCCACTGCAGTGTTTCTAAAGCCGGCAGACGCTCCAAAAACATCCAGGTTTCATGTCCGGACAGAAAATAGCTGAAAGTGAAAGGCGTACAGTAGAGGGTGGTCTTCTGGTGATGTCATGAAATTATTAAGCCTAACAGAGTCGAGCAGCGCATACCAGACGTCCTCAGTCATAATCCAGAGCTTGTGGAAAGGTGCCAGGCTGAGTTTGCAGTATCACACCCACATTAAGGCTTTCAGGCGTGACGGGATGCATAAAAACAGTTCAAGCCATCTAGACAACGCCAGGAACTAAACAAGTAATTTAGAAATCAACTTAAGTAACCACTGTATGTCAAAATAACACGAAAAATATGTTAAAAGAAATTGGTCCAGATGACACAATTTAACCTTTTTTGTTGTTATCTACTTGGATGATTGAGCTTACAAACATTTTTCTGAACCATTTTGGCCTCGGTTGTCCTCAGGCTGTTTCTGTGAGTAGCAAGTTGGCCATCGGGCCTAAAACATTTGATTGTTGTACATGATGATTGATTGTTTTGAACTGATGGGCCCTGTTAGCATGTTTTAAAAGCCTGCTTCTGAGATTCCAACAGGAGGTTGGCTTGAAACACAGCAGTGAAGACTACCTATGAGACAGATCTGGTTGGCAGACCGCAGACTGATGAAGTCTTCTGGATGGGAGATGAAATGTTTCTCACTTAAATGGAAACTGGTCCAGATGACATGACTTAACCTTTTTTGTTGTTATCTACCTGGATGATTGAGCTTACAAACTTTTTTTTAAATATTAAAAATAATTTTTCTAAGCAAATCAATGAGCAAATAAAAGGCAGTTGTGTGTTTCATGTTGGTGGAAGACAACACAGAGATGACCTCCTGCTCTGGTTCACAAAAAAAGTTAATATTCATGAGTCTAACAGCCTTAGGGTACAAGCTGTTCCTCAGTCTAGTGGTTCTACATGTAATGCTCCTTAACCTCCTTCCTGAGGGGAAACTCTATTAAGAAATGTTTGAGACATCCACAACAACTCTATTTTCAAAGAAAATTTTGGAAAGTGTTCCAAATTCATGGATCATCCGATGTAACTGAAAATTTCCCAAAACATTTTGAGACATTTTGAAGATCTCCTGTGAATGCTGTTTCCTAACTAGTTGCCAACAGTTCAAATTCAAATTCAATTAAAATATACTTTATTAATCCCAAAGGGAAATTATTTGTTGTAGTAACTCGTTATCCTCATTTCATTAAGAGATGTTATAGATACTGATGGCTGTAGACAGGAAGGATCTCTTGTAAAGGTCCATCCCACAGTGGATCCTAAGAAACTGGCTGCAGATGCCGTCCAATCCGTCCACCCAGACTCGGCTGGCCTCTCGGTTCCCCCGGGCTGTAGGACCGCCCAAATGCTGGGCTGAACTCCTCCCAGAGTGATGACCACTCCTCCCAGCAGTCTGCCGAGCTCCTCGTCGCTGCAGACAGCGACACAGTAGGTGCCGAGGGACGATCCTGTCCTTCCACTGTCATGAGCCGTGTTTCCTGCTAGTTCCAGGATCTCAGTGGTCAGGCACTCGAGCACAGCTGGCAGGTAGATGAGAATGCATCCACAGAACATCCTTTCAACTTATTTGAGATTTGGGGCTGTAGTTGAGATATTATTTGAGCTTTTGATATGTTAATCAGTTGCTGTTGGTTGTAGAAAACTGCCTTGTTGCCATGGTTACGCATCATAACAAATGTCCAAAACTAAAAAAGTTTCAGTAAAAATCCTTCTAGCTGCACAGCATCTGATACCAGAGGAAACAATCATCAAAAAAATGTGATTTACACCAGAAAAAGAGAATTTAAAGTTTCCAAAAGCAAAATCTCAGAAAGTAACAGAGCTGCTCCAACATGCAGCACCTTGAACGGCGCAATTCTAGAACAATTCTAGTTGTAACCCAGTGGAATACTGGCTTTAAAGGACAGTCAGCAGGGCACCT